CGCATGTAAGTAAATATATTCGAAGACGATAGAGCACGCACATTTGTCTGAATACAGGACGTTAGGAGTGTCGATACAAATATTCAAAACAACGCCGAAGGAGATTAAATTTTCCAGTATACATTTTTTGGCGAATAAAAGCAAAACAATTCGAGGCTACTTCTTAAGAATTCCGATGCATTGTGATACTTGCACCACAGATACATTCAAATAGAGGAACGGTTTTGGACGGATTCATTTATTTGTAGATGTATTAGAGTTCACGGAAGCCACAGCACAGCCTATTAATGAATAATCTGTATCCTCTTCCGCCTTACATTTACAGCGAAGGCCCATATTTCACCCTTCGACTATTCTTCTGTTAAAACGGTTTTGCATCAGTCGATCTTGTGCTGGTGCTTGCGATGTTCTGCTAAACTATACTCTAGGGAGTTTTAGTATGGCGGCATGCACCCATGAAACCAACAGCGCTTAGAAGTCTTCAAAGTCTAAAACACGGAATTGTGCATAAGACGAACCCTTTGCTCCACGCCCTCAGAAGTCCCAATTTCGTTGTTGCATCTATTTGCACTGGACTTAATTTCTCAAGAGGATGCTGTTATTGCAGCAGTAAAATTTAAAGAAGCCGGCCCATACGTACATATATCGAGGGAATCTAAGTTCTCACTCACTGCCTAAATCCATAAACTTTTTTTGAAGCAGGAGTTGTTTTTCACCTGAAATAAGGCTAATAACATCTTTTTGCCTCTCCGGCCACAGGAGTGTGTATCAGGTGGATATGTTGGCAAGACCCCTGTGTCTACAGAGAAAAAGCTAGTCTTCATCTTCTCAGACAGCCTGAAAGCTTTAAGCTCACAAATAGCCAAAGCAAATTAGCTTAAAGTGCAAAACCGCGTATCAACAAAATGCAAAACTACGTATGTGAAGTTGTAGAAACACTCATATTTCAAAATGGTTCTCTTTTTTATAAAGTGATCGTATTTCTGGCTAGTATATTTCAGGACGAATGGGTAAGGATTGAGTCAAGAGCTTGTGTGAGCAAATCTAATTTTTGGCAGCCAATTTCAGTTACTCGGTTTTGCACAATGACGATACGCGGTCTTGTAACGGGTGATTTTTTAAGAGCTTGATAACTTTTTTTTTAAAAAAAACGCATAAAATTTGCAAAATCTCATCGGTTCTTTATTTGAAACGTTAGATTGGTCCATGACATTTACTTTTTGAAGATAATTTCATTTAAATGTTGACCGCGGCTGCGTCTTAGGTGGTCCATTCGGAAAGTCCAATTTTGGGCAACTTTTTCGAGCATTTCGGCCGGAATAGCCCGAATTTCTTCGGAAATGTTGTCTTCCAAAGCTGGAATAGTTGCTG